AGTATAGTATAGCACTACAGTGTCATCCCCAAACGTAGAGCTAACAGTATGAAACCTTTTTTTCGTTCAAAGTACCTTTTTTGGTTCGGTATCGTACCAATTTTTGTTCAGTGTGATGTGATTCAGAACACGATGCCAATCACACATTCAGTATATCTGAACAGCAGCGATCCTGCCCAGGGCGAAACTACTCAACAGGATCCTGACGGATCCCTGAATAATCTGGCGTCATCCTACAACCGGATCCGGTCGGATACCGACTGCCGGAATCCCCATTATATCGCTTCCCAGGTCGGAAAATCTGACGTAAGATCTTGTCATCTGCGCGTAAGATCTTGCAATCTGGACGAAATCTTACAAGAATCTGACAAAAAAGCGTAGTCTAAGAAATCTTGCATCAGATCATACTATTAGATTTGTGAAAGATCTTATACGGTAACAGGGTCTTTCAAGAATCTTATAGTACGACGGATCAACAGAATTCTTAGACGACGATTTTCTGTACAACTTTCATCTGATCTTACGAAATCGTACTAGATCAGAGGTACGATCTTGTAAGATCTTACTGTCTGATTGTTTGACCTGGGTTAATTTCCGACGTTGTCCGACAGTCGGATTCTCCAGGATTCGGATGGTAGAGTCCACCACTTTCCAATAGCTGGAACTTATCGGATCCGACGAAATCCGATGGTATAATGGTGTTTATAAATAGGTTTTATTTATTTATTACATTTTATTGCTTCTTATTTTATTTTTTTCTACTTTACTGTATATTTATTTTATTTTAATTTAACTTAATTTAATTTATTTTTTTTTCATTTTATTTTTATTTAATTTAATTTATTTTTATTTTATTTTATTTTATTTTATTTTATTTTATTTTTATTTTATTGCATTTTAATCTATTTTATTTTAATTGTACTTTAATTATTTTAATCGATTCTAATTCTTTACTTGAATCACAGCGCCTTCACCCACACGCTATACGGTGCGTTTACATTACACGAATTATGGTATGACGTCTAGGACCAATGACTCATGCTTTCTATGGCAGATTTTAAAGTGGCTAATGCACTTTGATTATAAATATCGGGCAATGGCTTCTTTAGGAAGATAATATATCAGAAAGATTCAGAATTTTATTTGAATTCAAACAAGATATCACTGGTTTGGGGCAAATTCTCCAGAAGCCTGTTTAACGCAAAAGACTTTTCGATGGTACTGACCTCTATATCCTATCTTTATCATTGGAGTAACTAACAACTACCGTTCTTTTCGCAAAATTCAGTCTTCACTATTTAACAAAGTCTCTCAAAACTTGAAAACTTATGATGGCATTCACTCGAAAAATTTTCATTTAGTTAATTGTTATTATTATTCATTATGAAATAGTCATTACTTGAAGTTATTATAAGTCAGAAAGTGCTTTCATCGGAAAGACGACTTGAAATTACTATAAAAAGAGTTTCTTGAAACAAGCTGGTTTTGAGTGAGGAAAGATGAACAATAATCTAAATATCTGATCTAGTATGATTGAGGTGAACTATAATAAAAGTTTTACGTCTGATTCTGAAAGAAACATTTTATTATACAGAAGCCATGAAATATGTTTTCATATACTTTTTTCTTCAATAACATTCTTTTTGTTCTTTGTGGCAGCAATATAATGGAATCGGTTTGTATATTATGTCATGGAAGAAAAAAATTAAGAAACTCAGCTTACTGCACGGTATCTTCGATTGAAGTAGAAATGCTGATCAAAGAGTCCTACAAAGTATTACATGGTACACAACTTGTAGAAGGTTTAATGAATTCACGAATACATAAAACTTGTTATTGGAAATATTATCGTCATGCTCGTAAGTCAAAAATTATTATTAATTTAGTGAAGTTGTGGCAACAATCATTTTGGCAATACTTGACGATAAAATAAGCTGTTTTAGTTTTTAATTGCCGTAAAGAGTAAAATCAATGACATCCACTAATGTACCATCAATGAATGAATATGCAAAATGATTAACTGACTCCAGTTTGTATCTATACTAGGAAGTGTAAGCCAAAAGATATATTTCGTATAAGTAGATATTACCACTATGTTCAATCGACTGGACAGATACTTGAAAGTGATACTCATGTATCATTTTAGTCTAACAAGAAATAAAATTGAAACTTCTTTGTCATTATGGTGATCCTGAGATAAAAATTTTAATATTAAAAGAATCCAAATATTAAGATTAGTTTTTGAACCTTTTGAAAAATTGTATCATCATATGGGACGGCCACAAGATTTAAGAGCCTTTAACATTTATATAGATTCATACTTGGAGCTTTGCTCTTTCATATGCCGATGATCTCATATGCTCAGGTTTTTTGAAGTCTGAAGTCGATACAGAAACAGCTGTGTCCATCATTTTTTTAAATAAACAATAATTCTGAATTTTTCTTGGGACAAAACTTGTCGAATGCTATTTCTGAACGAAGACCACTTGCTGATGTAACAAATCATCATTCATCATCATCGATTTCAAATACCTTCACAAATACTGGTTCTACCATTAACGCTGTTATCAATACAAGTAATGGAATCAATGTTGATATATTGCCATCACTATCCGCTACACAAGTATCATCTGACATACAATCATCAGCAACAGAATCATGCGAAACAATTTTTCAACAAAATTATTCAAATCAACTTGATATATCTGTAGAAACTACTTCTCCTCTGTTTATAACGTTATCATCGTTGAGCGAAGAAATAAATGATAAGGTAAAGTTCCATATATTGATAGTGATATTGGAGTTGATTGTAACCTTTTATTATGACATAACTTCGGCATGCTAATATGATAAATATAAATTTTTCTAGGTACATTCATTACCGTCAACATCCGAAAAAAAAATTGCTCCAGATATTGATACATTACCAATTGAAATAGATTCAAGTAACTTAGTTAGCAATCGAAATGAAGTATTTCAATCAAATGAGGTAGACATGTATTGAAGTTATTAAAAGATATTAAAATGTCTGTAATATTTAAATTAGGATTCGGAACTATTCATAACTGATAGGAATGATGATTGTGAACAATTCAGTGACTTTTTACCATTGATTGTTGAAAACGTAACACCTTTAATCCATTCGACACCCATTCTTTTAGACCATGAAACAACTTTATTGGTAAGCAAGCTCTGATTATTTTGCACGAAATTTATTAATAAACTTATCTGTGTCTATTTTCATTTTTTAAGAAAATTTCTCGAGAAAAAGTAAGAAAAAAAATTGATTTCGATCGAATAATCACAAGAGAAGATGTCCATGAAATATCAGTCCTAACAAATAATAGTTCATCAGTATGTAAAAAATTTATCATTTATTGATGGATTAATAGAAATATTTTGCAATGCTCTCGTATATTACTTTGTTTTTTCATTTTACTTTAGGATCGGTCTTCTCGTAGTGTTGGTCGTTCAGCAGGTGTTAAAAAGAGTGCTGATCAACTTACATCATCATTGACAAATAACATGAAATTTTGCCTATATCAAAATAGCTTTGATGAATTATGTGGTTGGTTAAAAAATTTATTACAATCAGGTCTATTAATATCTATGATTAATGTTCAAGAAAAATATAGAGAACTTCTTCGATCAAGGAATGAAACAATTACAGAATCAATACTTCGTACTACTTCTATTCGAGATCGTCTTAAAACAAAATTTGGAGAAAAAATATTGTTCACCAAGACCAATAAATCACAAGGTGTATATGTCTGTTGGAATAGCATGTCGGAAATTACGCATTCCATTTTGACGAATAATACCGTTCTTGATTATGATGATGCGATTGAATCGAATCGTATTTACAAAACTCGAAACATTTGCGAAGATAAACAACCATTATGTGAAAAGCTAATTGAAGCCATAGGACTTTTACGTGAAGCCATGCAAGAAAATTTACATTATTTAAAAAAAGTTCAACAAAATCATGAATCATTAGCTCAAATTACTTCTGATTTATTTTGGGATTGTGCTTCACTAATCATCAAAAACTTTATCGGTTTGTTGACATCAGCAGAACGTGATTTTCAATCTTTTAGAAAAGACTATCAATTTTACAAGTTATATGATGAAGATATATTTAAATCATCTGAAAAATCACTAAAAATTTCATCTATAGTTTATGATATTATAGGTGCACGATACAGTCATTTTGTAACACATAAACATATATTACTCGGTAATGAAATATTCCACCATGTTCGATCATCTCATTTATTGAATATAATGAATAGATTTGGGCATACATGCTCATATGAGACAATGGTAAGCTGAAAAAGCAGATATTTTCCAAACTCGACATCTAATTTATCATTTTTCGTAATCTTCTAATAAATGACTTCATTTAGGTTCGATTACAAAAAAAAGCAGCTGATGCAATTGCATCCTTGTCTCCAACAGCACTACCACCATCTGTAAAACAAGAACACTCATTTGCAATAGCAATTGTTGATAATTTTGATTTAAATATCGGAACATTACATGGTGAAAATAGCATTCATATTTTAAATCGAATAATTATACAAACACCAAATCCTGAAGAACTTTTATGTGATGTTAATCAATGTTTAGTTGATTTGTGTAGTCGTGTGGCAGCAGCTATAGAAAATACAGATCATGATGCAACGCATAGTGATCATGTACAAGACACGACGAGATCAACAGCCCAAATAATTAATAAAATGGAATACAAGCCATATAAAGATAATTCTTATGATGCTATATTGTTGTCATATAGTTTAATGAAATATGCTTTTGATCAAAGCAATGATCTTACTAAAATCATAGATAGTCACATGCAAATTAACTTGCCATTATTATCTGGATTTTTGGCTTCATTCATTGAAAATATGCAGCGTCCATTATCAAAAATAACCTTTTTGCCGCCAATAAATCAGGATCCAAGTTCATTATCAGCATCAAAATTGTGCATGGCATCGATTAAAACAGCTTTAATTGATTCTGGTTTCCAAAAAGAAGTAGTGATCGTAGCAGATGAAAAAATTTACAGCCAATGCATAAAGGTAAATCATTTTTCCAATACTACTTATTTTGCGTAAGAAGAAGCATTATTAATCACTCGTAGATTTTCATAAGTTTGGTTGGAGTTTATCATTGTCGATGCTCTAAAAACTTGTATTGTAATAACTCAAAAGCTTTTTTTCTGAGACGTTTCGCAAGTATCTTAATAGATAGATACTGTTGGATGAAAACTGCCTGCTATTTTTTTGTATTCCATGAGATTAAGTGTTTTCCTGGATGACTTTTGTGAGTAATTTTTTGTCAAATGCTTATTAACAATGTCTCAATCTATTTAAATTTACATATAATTTTGTTTGCTTCTTTAACAGGTGAAAAGAGATAATAATATTGATAATAATATGATCTTTGTTTATGCCGGTGACTTTCATATTATGAAAAACTATTTGATTGTCATATGGGATGTATTGAATGGAAGTGGTATTGAAGATATTTTTGCATGTATTTATAAAGGAGCAGCTCATCGAGCAGCCATGAATGTTCATAATTTCAATAGCTCATTGCGTTGCTGCAAACTCCTATATTCAGCATTATCAATATTGTTCATTGAATCATTCATAAAGACATCATTATCATCATCTTCAACAGCAATAGCTGTTGATAAATTAAAACAAATTTTAGAAGCTGTACCATCAGATTATGCTACAAATAAAGAAAAACAATCTTGGTTTGTTTCATTAGTAGATGAGATCAAGAATATACAGTTACTGGATATCATAAATCAATGGGCAAGTGAACAATGTGAAAAAAATTTGGTATTTAAATTTTGGTATTTCGTATATCGACAGTTGTTAGAACCTCTAATATTATTGTACATGTCAGTCAGATTATCAAACTTCAATGGTTAGTTTGTACACACGCTATTAAATTATTTTTAAATTTGAACTATCTTCATCATTTAGGAAGAAACGCTGCATTGTCATTGATGGGACCAATATTTTTTTCTACTAATCATCGTAATTACGCAAGATTAGTAGTGCAACATTTATTAGATCTACAATCAGCTTCAAGCTATTTACGTGAAAATTTGGAAAAATTTTTCACTGTTAATCGTTCAAATAGACCATTCTCAGCTATTGCATTAGATCAGGCGATTGAATGTTCTATAAACAAATATGGAAAAGGCCGAGGTACAATTGTCGAAATATTTTTTTAGTTACAAGGAACACTTCTTTTCTTTTCTTTACTCTCTAGGTGGCATATCTGGTAAATTTAGTGCACAATTAATTGATATTTGGTGTCAATCGTTTTCATATCGATCAACATTATCATCAATCACCAATGATATTGCATCTTTAGAAAGAAAAAACAACTCCGTTGAAGCTCATATCGAGTGTTCACCAAGTCGATTGGTACAAGATAATAAAGATTTATGCATAATTATAAAGAAATTAAAAGATGAAAATATATTTATATATCCAAATGAACGTGTAAGAAAAATCATGAATGGTAAAATTATTCATCATAAAATAATCGAAAATATTGTAACGATGTACGATCGTGGTTCAGAAAAAATGTATTTATTCATTCAAGAGCGATACATTGACCATTCGCTTAGTATTGATCATCGTTTATCTGCCATGCCTCGTCTGGAATTATGTGATGAGTTTCAAGAAGATGGACAACATATTTTAATGAAAAAACGAAAAAATAATGATAATAATAAGATATTTAACAAAATGGTAAAGACAGCTGATTATATGATTAAGAATATAATTGCTATGTCGCATTTTCGAGTAAGTTTTTTTCATAAAACTTAAAGATTTTGACAAAAATTGCTTTCAAATGAATACTTGTGGATGATAATAGAACAGGTTTAAAATGCATGACGTTTTGTGATCGTACATACATATTTTTATTATAAAATGCGTATCAGCTATTTGATTTTGCTATTCAATATAGCAACTTATTTCTACTGAAACGCAAATCCTATTTTATTTTAATTACCTTTTAGAGTTTGGATTTGGATTTACTATTTGGCTGTGAGTTTGCACCTGTGCCATTCGCCTTATGTGACAGTCAAAATTTCAATCTTTTAAATCAACAGCAAAAATCTGATGTAATTAAGTTTTTTGAAGAAGAATGTTCCGCAGCTTTTACAATGAATAATCCAACTATACATGGTGGTAAATATGCATTAATAATAGACGGTGGTCCATTGTTAGAAATAAAACCAACTAAAACAAATTCTACTATCTTGGATTATGCAAAGCAATTATTATTGAATAATATTGTACCTGAATTTCAACGTTATGATCGAATAGATATTATTTTTGATTCTTGTAAAAGTAAGAAAATAAAATCATTTACGAAACGCCATCCGTATGAAGACAAGGAGCAACAAGACTATGAGTTGAAGAAGACAGATATTTTGGATTCGACTAGATTTCATAGTTTCGTTCACAGTAATCGATCCAAATTAGCCTTAATGGTTCGTGCATGTTGGTCAGAAGACCAATTAATTAACCTTTTACCTGCGAGAAAACGTTTAGTAATTGCTGGTCCACAAAATGAAGCAATTAAATTAATGAAGGAGAGCACATTATTATCATCGTGTTCATGTGAAGTATTACTTGAGTTAGAAAGTAATCACATAGAAGCAGACACTCGCCTCTTCTTACATGTATATGATGTTCAAGTTGACAATAACGATGAAGAAATGTTTGAAGGTGTTGTTATCCAAAGTAATGATACAGATGTTATTCTACTTTCAATTTCACATAACAAAATTGTTAATTTACCACAGTTTTACATTAAAAAATTCAATAATTCTGCCAAAATTTCTACATTTATCAATGTGAAAAAAATTGGTCAGTTCTTAAAATCAAAATGGCATATTGATGAACCAAGTGTTCTGCTTACTATACATTCAATATCTGGATGTGATACAACATCTTTTATTCGTTTTATTACAAAACGAAGTTTATTTTTAACATATTTATCAAATGCTAATCAATTTAAAGATTTACTTCAATTTGGGTCAAGTCCAACTGTTAATTACGAATCTATTCAAGCAGCTGAAAAACTTGTGTTGCTATGTTATTCTAATAAATCATCTGTATTTCGATCAATAGAGTTAATGGGGAATTTCATTTTGCGGCAAATTCGAATTAATCCACATCTTCCTATCCGAATTCAGCGAACATATAGATGCTATGGACAAGCGAAATATATGATTTAAGAATTCAATCATAGAAACGGACCCAGATATATTCTTATAGCGGTATAGTGGTATAGCGGTATAGCGGTATAGTGGTATAGCGGTATAGCGGTATAGTGGTATAGCGGTATAGTGGTATAGCGGTATAGCGGTATAGTGGTATAGCAGTATAGTGGTATAGCGGTATAGTGGTATAGCGGTATAGTGGTATAGCAGTAGAGTGGTATAGCGGTATAGTGGTATAGCGGTATAGCGGTATAGTGGTATAGCGGTATAGTGGTATAGCGGTATAGCGGTATAGTGGTATA